CACACACACACACACACACACACACACACACACACACACACACACATACCTGTATAACGGAGGTGAGTAAGACCGATTCCTCGTAGATCGATCCGTCGTACGTCATCGCGTGGAACGACGGCGGCTTGTCGTTCACGTCCGTCACGTCGATCGTAAGGTTCGCGGACCCGCTGAGTCGCGGCACCCCATCGTCCGATGCCAGCACTGTCAGACTGCGTGCGCGGGGAGGGAAAGACAGTCAGGCTTAACTTAGTTAGATTAATTATTATTAATATTATATTTATAATTAATCGTGCGTGGTTTGTTTTGTTCATTTGGGGTTTTACTCACTCACATTGTTACCACAATCACAGACACACCACATCATGATCCAGTCAGTGTAGATGAAGGCAAGCACGGGACAAGGAGTGAAATAATAAAGATTACACGCCTATCATTACTTATCATTAGTTACCATAACAAATAAACACGCATGCGCATAGATAAAAACGTTCGATAGATTTTCTGCGTCACCCTTACCTATTTCGAGGACAATGAAAATCATGTTCAAATTTTTCATTGATGGCTTCAAATCCTTGATATTTGTGTACACTACGTCGGCCATTATGACCTTAACAGACTTAAGAGCTTGTTTATATTCGTTAAAGAAGGATCTGCTAAGAAAACAGAAGCGATAAAGGAGAAATATTTGAGGAACACGAACACGCCATCTAATAAAATTTTATGCTCCCATTCAACTAGCGCCCTCTGGTGTCGAGGTCTAGAAGTTTTCATGACATCACATTTAGATGAATAAAATAATGTAAGAAATGACATGTAGATGGCGCAGGTAGATCAAAATGCAATATCTATGCATGGATCTTTGTTACTATACTACATATCAGGAGTCTATCAATATTGATTTATTGATAGACTACTGTACATATATTCAAGAGCGTATATATTGTAACTAGCGGGATACCCGGCGTTGCCCGGGGAAATCAGTGGTGTTACTCAGTTGGTGACCGCTTGGTTGAAAGGAAAATACCCCAAAAAATCTAACTATCTATCTATCCATGCATGCATCCATCCATCCATCCCATCCCATCGCACCGCATCCCATCCCATCTCATCGCATGCCATGCCATGCCATCCCATGCCATAGGGGTCAGGTATATGAGGGGGGTCAGGTATATGAGGGGGAGGGGGTCAGGTATCTTCCTTCTGCGCACCTCTCTCTCCGCACTTCTCCTTCTCTCTCTCTCTCTCCGCACCCCCCTCTCTCTCTCTCTCTCTCTCTCTCTCTCTCTCAGCACCTCTCCCTCTCTCCGCACCTCTCCCTCTCTTCGCACCTCTCCCTCCCTCTGCATCTCTCTCTCTCTCTCTCTCTCTCTCTCTCTCTCTCTCTCTCTCTCTCTCTCTCACAAGAGTACCTGTGTACAGTCTGCTATTCAAGTGGAGACCTGTCCAGGTGTCACGGGATTGGCAGAGAATTCGATTTTCTCCATTTGTTTTTTCCTGTTATTTTTGTTACTTGGTCAGTTACTTGCCAAGTGTAATAAACAGGCTAACCACCCAACCTTTAGGACACACCTTAGCCTATCTTCTTTTGTTTTGCTCGTAGTGGATCTTTGACCCAAGGGTTCTATTATTCGTTGACCCTATGACAAAATGAGTTTAGGTCTCACAGAAGTTGAAATTAGTCCCAGCAAGCTGATCTCTTTACAGACAATGAGGGTGGTTAGTGCCCGAGTGGTTTACATCCTCAGCAGTTTTTTTGATATCCCAATTACTAGAGACAGGCTTGCCATCTTACCTGGTTATCCAACACACAAGTGCTTCACAGTCACTTGTGCTAAGAGCTAGGTTTTTAAACCCTGAGAAACGTACCCTGGCTTGGGTTTGAGCACACGTACAGCCAATGTGGTTAAAGGTGTTGGGAGATTAGCTGGAGTAAATCACCAGATTGGTACTAAGTGTCACTGGACTTGACATATATACCCGTTACGTAGTGTAGAGCAATGAAGACTATATATTTCTAGATTGAAAACATTTAATTATTAAAAATATTTATTAATGCAGTGTTTTCCCTGCATTGACACCCGCCTCGCTCAAATTCTCAGCCGCCACACAGAAATTTGTCCAAAACACCGCCTCTCTGACGAAAATCACTGTTCTTCCATAGAACAGTGCTTATAATCGCTACATTATATCTACATGTGCTCGCCCTGACAATGTATGTGGCCTGAGATCCTACATTGGAGCTTATAAGGTCTTGGCCCAAGTATTGCTAAGATGTGCCTCGATACTAGCACCACTAGAAGATATGACTGCAGGGATGTGCTCCAAAGACAAGATTAACTGGAACGATGAGGCACAATGTTCCTTCCGAGGAGCTCAGGAGTCCCTCAAAACACATAGGTCCATCCACCTACCAAGGCCTGAGGATCAGTTATGGATCATGACTGATGGTGACGTGAAGGAACCTGACATCAGAGCCACGCTCTACCTTATGCGAGATAGGAAATTGCTCGCCAAGTTGAGGGGGCACCAAGTGAAGTGGCTTCCTTGTGAAGTAGAGGCCCTGTCCATTGCTGTCGCAACAAAACACTTTAGCCCATATATTATCCAGTCGAAGCATCAGACCTGCATACTCACAGACAGTAAGCCGTGCGTACAAGCATTTGACAAATTATGTCGCGGTGAATTCTCCGCAAGCACCAGGGTTTATACGTTTTTGTCTACAGTTAACCGATATCAGGCATCTGTACGTCACGTTGCGGGAGTTTCCATCTTACCGTCCGACTTTGTTAGTCGCAATGCCCCCATTTGCAATGAACTAACATGCCGAATTTGTTCATTCGTCAAGCAGTCAGAGGAATCGGTTGTTCGACCCGTAATCGTCAGTGATATACTGACTGGTACGTCAAACTTGAGACGCACCCGAGCACATTTAGTCCAAGGGACTCGACCGTCAAAGAAACTGACCAACATCAGAGACGTCAAACGGTATATTAATATCGCCACCATTGCCAGAGATGGACTGCTAGTAGTGAAACGTGATGTACCATTCCTACCCTCTACTGAGTGTATCATCGTGCCTCGTCAAATTGTAGATGGGCTAATTACATCCCTACATTTACAGCTTGGCCACCCGTTATGCAGTCAACTTAAAGCTGTAGTCCATAGGTATTTCTATGCCTTGAATTTGGACAAGACAGTTGCTCGCATCATTAGCTCCTGCCATCAGTGTGCAGCACTAAAACAAGTCCCTAGCCATAGCGTTGAACAGAGCTCTACTGATCCACCTGAAACAGTGGGCGTTTCCTTCGCAGCAGATGTAATCAAGAGAGAGCGTCAGTTAATCCTAGTGGTCAGAGAATGTGTTACATCGTATACGGCCGCCATGCTCATCGATAACGAACGTCATGACACACTCAGAGATGTTCTAGTGCGCCTGTGTATTGACATGCGGACATTAGATGGCCCCATTGCCGTCATCCGTACAGACCCAGCCCCGGGATTCAAGGCCCTCATTGACGATCAGCTTATTACGCCAACATAGAATGTCAATTGAAATAGGGAGAATCAAAAACCTAAACAAAAACCCTGTTGCAGAACGGGCCATTCAAGAATTGCAGGATGAAATTTTGCGACAAGATCCCATGTGCAGGTGTGTTTCCCCCCTTTGCCTGTCAGTGGCTGTGGCCAGATTAAACTCACGTATTCGTGGACGTGGTTTGTCAGCCAGGGAGATGTGGACACAACGCGAGACCAGTTCTCCAATTACCGACTCCCAGTGTCAGATCATATGCTTATCTCGAAGCAATGTCAGGAAAATCTCAATGCCAATCACAGCTACAGTGAAAAGTCAAATGCACCCAACAGGATAGAGACGCCTCTCTCAGATGTAGTTGTGGGTGATTTAGTGTACGTGTATGCCGATCGAAACAAGTACTGCGCTCGTGATAGGAACCTCGTAGTCAGTATTGAGGGCCAGTGGTGCAATATACGGAAGTTCGTGGGTAGCCAGCTGCGCAATGCTTCATATCGAGGTACCCGTATACCAAACATGTCTTCCCCGAACCCCATTTGACGATCAGGAGAGTGGATCAGATGATGATCACCTACCTGAAGCTCCATGCCCACCGACTATACCGTGCATACCACCAGCTTTATCTCTACCTGCGAGGGATGAGAGTCAGTCTAGGTATTATGAAAATGATATCCTAGCCACCCCTGTGCACCAGCACAAGAACGCTTTACTCCTTATGAAGTTGAGTCAATGGACCATGTATCACAAAAGGCGTCACCAAGCAAGTGTACCCAACAACCCCCTGTGCAACCACGTGGGTCACAGAGACCCACTAGAAGTCACTGTCAACCTGCTAGATTCGCTGATTATGTGATGAGCTAACAGGGAGATACAGGAGTAATACAGAATAATCCCCTACTTCAGGGCTTGAGGGTAGTCCATCCCAGTGATAGCCACCTGTATATAATATACATGTTGTGTTTATAAGTTAGTTTAAACCGTAACCCTGTCTCAGTTTCTCGTGCTTCGTACACACTTAATTCCCAGCCATGGATTGCATTTTTAGTTTTACTCAAGGGTTATATATGTCGTTTTACGGTTTGGACTCGTTCTGTCCACATTTAACGTAGTGACTGTGTGATTTACTGTTAAACATTGAGAAGAATAGAACAGACAAAACAAGTGCCGCAGAGCGACAGCGCTCACCTGACGGCAGGTGTTCTGATGCTAAACTCAGGGGCAAACGAATCAAGAGCACCCTCCCATCGCCGCGTTCGCTCTCCCTCGTTGTCTCTCATTCTTTCTCTTTCGCTCTCTCGCTCTTGCTATCTCTTCCCTTCGCGCTCTCTCTCTCTCCCTCTCTCTCTCTCGAGATCCATAGCATGATCCATCCATCCATCCATCATCGGCAGCGCATCGCATGCCAGTCTCATCGCATGCCATGCCATTGCGCATCCATGCCAATGCCATCTCGCATCCCATCGCATCCCATCCCTCGCGCAGTGCCCATCCAGTCGCCACCGGCATCGCCATCCCAGGTGCCATGCCATGGCATGCATGCCTATGCGATGCGCATGCATGCCATGCCCATGTGCATGGCCATCGCCCTCCCATCCCCTCCCATCCCACCCCATCCCTGCCAAACAGTAAAAAAATAATAGAATGCAAAGATAAAAAACATTAAAATACAAAGGGCTAGCGATACCCGGGCGTTGGCCCGGGAAATCAGTGGGCATTATCTGTTTGGTGACGCGCTTGTTGAAGAAAATACCGGCCCAAAAATCTATAGCTATTATCTATCCATGGCTCCATCTATCCATCGCTTGCCATGCATCCCATCCCATCCGCATGGCCATCCACGACATCCGATTGCCATGCCATAGGCCAGATGGCCATCCATCCGCCATCCCATCCCATTCCATCACAGCCGCATCCCGATCCATGCATGCCATCGCGACATCCATCCATCCGCATCCATCCCATCCGCCAAACCAATAAAAAATAATAAGAATCAATGAATAAAAGACA